AATTTTATACTATGCCAAAAATTGAATACTTAAAGAAAGTGTAACATCCTCTATGAGTGAAATAAAAGCATTTTATACTAGCAATAAATTAAAAATAGCTTTGATTAGTAAAAGTTTATGTGCAGTTTTTGTGAAATGCAAGTTTTTAAAACTACCTAAAACTATAGTTGATACAATTTATATATTTAGTTGGGTTTCCGAAGACATTCCGAAGACAAATCAATTTAAAACTTTTTATAATAAATCTCTAAGAAAATATTCTTTTGTGGTAGAAGGGCCCAAAATGCCTGAAAATCAATAATAAGATTTTGGGTAAACTTCGGTGCGACAATCAATCAATCATATTTGAGTAAATTTCGGCACGAAAATCAATCATAAGATTCGGCGCGAAAATCAATCATAAGTTGGGTAAATTTCGGCGCGAAAATCAATTATAAGATTTGGATAGGCTTTGTGATTTGCACATCATCCAAAATTATTAACCAATAAACACCAAATTTCAGAACACAATAAACCTGATTATTTCTACAAGCCCAATTACATATTTTGAGATAAGGGAAAATGCACTACCGCTACGTATTTACAAAATATATATGTGGTAATTGGAATGCGTTAATGTAAAAATAATGTAATAATTTCGACATGATAATGTTAAATGGACATGTTCATTGGTAATTGTTACATCTTTTTATTATGCTATATCACATTGAACAATAAACAATATAATAAAAAGGTGTGACAATTACAAATGAACAAGCCGTTTAACAAGGGTAATAACGTCAAAAAATTATAATTAACATGTAAAAATTGCAATTCACAATTAATTGTTTTGCAATTGTTTATCTGTAACAATTTAACTGAATGTAATTGTGTATGGCTGTAGGCAAAATGAGTATTGAGGAAATGAGATCTACCGATGGGATAAAATATTTACAGCTCGAAAATATACTGTTCTTGAATGTGAATTACCAATTATCGCTAACAAAAATGACACCAAGATACAGGGACCTATAAAAAAAATGTGGAGTTCTTTTTTTTTTTGAATTAGCCGAGTTCTTAACTAAGAATGTACCCGATTTTGTCACCTGACTCTACGAACATCCTACACGTGAACGACGAAACGCTGAAGATCAAACGCGAACGATTAACCATATTTGCGACCCATATTGCTTTTTAGAATTGTTTTTTAGAAGAAGATAATATTAGTTAGTAAAGTACACTTTCCTGTAAATCCATCGTTCAAGACATGTATATAGGTTTCACATTCCCTTTACCTTAGTCTTTAGATTTCGACTTATCTCTTGAATAGAATAAGATATCAAATTCTTACACGTTAAATCCAATATTATTAATAAAACATACATCTCTTTGTGTCTTCATATACAAGCCCTCTAGAACGTCAATACAAGTTATTGGCATGAAACGTATATTAGCATTAGACGAACGTGAGACCTTCAATCTTTTAACCGTACTTATAAAGAGGTATAGTTGGGTGTAACAGTCATTATATAAAATCATCTCGTGTAACGTTCTAGCCTTTAATTGTTGAAATTCAAGTTTCCCGCAAATCATATATATATTGAAAGTTTATAAATGAAAAGTATTAACTTTGCAGCTACTTTACTTCGTTTACGCTGTTATCCAAAAAAATATCCAATTTCAACAGCGTTTCTTGCTAATTCTAAAATTACCAAACTTACTTTTTCTACTCTACAAAAAGTACAAAAAGTAAAAATGTCAAACGGAATTCCTTTGTATCCTGTAGAAATGTGGAGACCAAATGATATATCAAATACCGAAATGGAAAATTTTCGGTTAATGGTTAATGAAAGGTTTCATATTAATTTAGGTATTTAGGTAGTTATTTCTCTTTTTTATCAAGTATTTGTATCTTTCAATTAATTGATTTTATTATAATTCATTAGAAAACTATCATCAACTTTGGAAATGGTCTACCGACAATATTTCAGATTTTTGGGCTACAGTTTGGGATTATACCAACATCATTCATTCAGCTCCCTACGAACAGGTAATTATTATTTCGCCGATCCATTATTTTCTGACCTAATGATAATCGTATTATACATACATATATATTTATATATATATAGATAATAAGATATGTGTATATAGATTATTTATTTATTTTAAATATTGTAGGTTGTAGAATCTAAGCCAATGAATGAATTACCTGCTTGGTTTTCTGGTGCAAGACTTAATTTTGCCCAGAACTTATTGTGGTGCCGTGATGGGAATAGAACTGCTATTATTTCAGCTGGTTTGTCATCTTTTCTTTTATTCGATATTCGATAAATAATCAATGTAATTCGTTTTCTTCATCTGTATTTATGATTTTTAGGTGAAGGCAAACCTATACAAACAATTTCTTATCGTGATTTATATGATCAAGTTAGACGTATGGCAGTTGCAATGAGATCGGCCGGTGTTCGAAAGGGTGATAGAATTTGTGCTTATATTTCAAATTGTCCTGAAGCCGTGATTGCAATGCTTGCTTCTACTAGTATTGGCGCAATTTGGAGTAGTGCTTCTCCTGACTTTGGTGTTTCAGGAGTTCTTGATAGATTTTCTCAAATTCGTCCAAAAATTTTATTTTCTACAAATTCTGTCGTATATAATGACAAACCCATTAATATCTTACCAAAGCTTAAACATGTGGCTGAAAGTTTAGAGAAAGAGGGTCTGGAAAAAGTTATCGTCGTTCCTTTCAACGAATTTAATAATTATGATTTATCTTCAATTTCATTAGCAACTTCTTGGAATGATTTTCTGAACAATTATTCAGTTGCAGGCTCTAGTTCTGATGAAATAGATTTTGAACAATTGCCATTCGATCATCCACTCTATATTCTTTTCTCTTCCGGAACGACTGGAAAACCTAAATGTATGGTTCATAGGGCAGGGGGAGTGTTAATTCAACATAAGAAGGAGCACATTTTACATGGGAATATGTCTAAAAATGACGTATTTTTTTATTATACAACAACCGGATGGATGATGTGGAATTGGTTGGTTTCAGGATTGGCAACTGGTTGTACAATTGTTTTATATGATGGATCGCCTTTTAAACCAAGGACATCCGTTCTTTGGGAATTAAGTGATCAAATTGGGTAGGTATAAGCTATTAATTATTTATAATACAAATGAAGTTATACCGTTTTATATAATTTTTGTTTTATCTTTAGGATTACAGTATTCGGCATTTCCGCAAAGTATATTCAAAATCTTCAAGATTTAAATTATAAACCCATCGAACAGTGTAATTTACAATCAATTAGAATAATTTTGTCAACCGGTTCACCTTTAAAATCTGAAGGCTTTGATTATGTCTATAACTCGATTAAAAAAGATGTTTTATTGGGTTCGATCACTGGTGAGTTTGTTTTTATGGTTATTTATATCTTTCTGTTATATAACAATTTAAATTTTTAATGTTTATTTTATTTCAGGTGGAACTGACCTTTGTTCGCTGTTTTGTGGCCTTAATGTTACTCTCCCAGTTTACCGTGGTGAAATCCAAGCCAATTGTTTGGGCATGAAGATTGAAGCTTGGGATGGTGAAAGTAAATTTCATTAACGTATCATATATTATTGAAAGTTTGCATTTTTTTTAAAAAAAATTTCTAAATAATAAATGATTGCAACATCTATTTTAGATAATCCTGTATATGCTAAATCTGCCGATTTAGTATGCACAAAGCCATTTCCATGTATGCCACTATATTTTTACAATGATAATAATAACTCAAAATACATGGATGCATATTTTTCAAACTACCCATCAGTTTGGTATCATGGTGATTATATGTGGATAAATCCAAATACAGGTGGTGTGGTAATGCTAGGTCGTTCTGATGGTACTTTAAATCCAGGTGGTGTTAGATTTGGTAGTGCAGAAATTTACAATATTGTAGAAAGTTTCTCGGAAGTTCAAGATAGTTTGGTTGTAGGTCAGAAAATCGGTGAAGATGAAAGAGTTGTTTTATTTTTAAAAATGTGTGATGGAATGAAGTTTAGCGATGAATTAGTAACAAGAATTAAGGCAAAGATTAGAAAAGACTTGAGTCCTAGACATGTTCCTAGCTTTGTTTTACCCATTCGTGATATTCCGGTAAGTTTATTTGTTTATTGATTTACTCTTATTTATTTACTTATTTAATATATTTTGCATATTTTGACCTTTTTTTTCAGTATACATTAACTGGTAAGAAGGTTGAAGTTGCGGTGAAACGTATATTATCCGGACAAAAGGTGGTTCCTTCGGGTTCATTAGCAAACCCTGAGAGTCTTGAATTGTATTATGATTTTCCACAGTTAAAGCACAAACTTTAATTGTAATTTTAAATGGTGTCTTGATGAAAATTTTGACCCGTATTTACACATTCTTGTACAATATACAGTCACCCCCTCTATAATCACAAATTAATATAATTACAAATTTATTTTTACCAATTATTTATAACTATATATATAGAAAATACCTCTATATTAGTCACACCTTTTTATAATCACGATTTTTTGTATCCCAAAGGTGTGACTACTGGACTATAGAGGGGTTTGACTGTATATATTTTTAATTTTTAATTTACGCTATTGTAAATCTATGTAATATAAAATTTAAAGCAAATAATTAAAGTTAGGGTTTAAGGTTTGGGCAAAGCACAATTTATAATAAAATTTTATAAGGAATCTTTTTGTTTTTCAAATAGTCTTATAAGAAAAATTTTAAGTATCGTAAACGCCTGTGTTTTACAGTCAGACCTCTCTATAGTCACCTCCTCTATAGCCAAGATTTGCTTATAAAATTTTTTAAAAAAAACAACATATAAAATTTAACCTTTGTATAAGCACAAACTCTCTATAAGCATCAAATTCTTAAAACCAAGGGTGTGATTAGAGAGGTTGACTGTAACCAGAGTGACGTGTATAGAATGAAGATATAATATTATATATGCTGGGTAATAAAATATAAAGAATGAATGAATATTTTCACCCCCCATTTTTGCTAATGCCACCCCCAGATATCAAAAGGTGCTCCGGAATAGATATTCTTATTAAGTAAATCCTTCTTTTGGTCTTAATAAAAGTTGTTCATCAGGCCTTTCCGGTTCTAATGGTAGTAAAATCGTTACACTCGGACCAGTAGTTTCTAAGATATTTATATCCGAAATTAGCTAACTTTCGCTTTTTAAAAAAAAAACTACCAGTCCGATTTTAATGATTTTACTATCATTAGAACCGGAATGGCCTGATGAACAACTTTTATTAATCTTCCGGAGCACTTTTTTAAATTTTGGCAATACTCTAAAAGATATTACCAGTAGTATTACCAACCTAAAAAAATCCACTGGCCAATCAGATTTCAAGATCAGGTGTGACGCGAAAAATCAAAACAAACATTTTATCTATGAAATCACTAACAAAAAAGTTTTCCTTGCGAAATTTTGGTACTACTAGAGCTCTTTCTAAACTAGCTTATAGCAAAACCTAATCTTAATCTAACAGCGAAATTTTTTAGCGAAATTTTTTAGGTTGGTAACGCTAGATCAGTTTTTTCGCCCGATTTGATTAAGTGATTTCGACATAATCAGTATATAAAAGATATAAAAGATATAAAAGATATGTATATTTATTTATTTTTACAATTAATTTTATCATTATATTGTTTATACATTCAACATTATTAAATTTCGTTTGAATACTCGCTCAACATATTTGGTATACGAAAATTTATGGATAAGTCTGTTCTTGTCGACCAATAAATCTTGATATGAAATAGAAAAAAGGCACTGTGTAAATTAGATTTTTACAATAAACATATTACACGAATAGTTACTAATATTTTAAGGTAAGATATGATCGAGAATTTATCAACTGGTTTAAATATTAATTCGATATTCCAAAAAATTAATATTTGTCGAAAAATAATTCGATAATCCAAAAAGTTAAACACCTAAATGTAATTTTTCGAACTAACAAGCCTTCTAAATTTTTTTTTCAATTATTGTGGCAGATTAAAATGAAATCAGATTAAAATGAAATGAAAGATAGTGTAAAATAGACAAGCCACCGAAAAAT